TGCAGAGAGCTCATCTCTGTATTCGGCATTCAGAGGCTTGCAGTATCACGGTTCTCTGTTCCACTGCATTGTGAGCTCTCTTACTATAGTTTTTTGTAAGTAAAATTTGTTTGCAAATTTGCTAATCATGTATACATGATTGCAGGTCTGGTTTCGTAGCTTGGCAGTCGCGTGTAGTAAAAATGTTGTTTAGGAATAAAAACTGTAAAACTTTAAATTAATTTTCCAAATAATGAAGTTACAGATAAGAAAACAGTGTCATAGGCATTCCTCTACATATTCTATAATCCTCTCACATACATTATCCTAAATATTCTTTATAGGTATTGTATATGTTTGTATATTGTATATGCTGCCACTTTAACTTTGTATTACCATATCACCCTCACATTGCAGGCATAGACTGCAGGGACTGGCTACGGACACCAGAACCACTTCAGTGGTTCTGGTGACTATAGTGTCCCTTTAATGTGAGGTAAATTAGAGATTAGTGTCACTAATAATATACTGGATTGCCTACTTACCACCAGATGAGGACAAGAGGATGATGATGGGCTCCACTGATCTGGTGTTAAAACAGGCTCTCTGGGGGCAGTGCTCACAAAAATCAACAAACAGGAAGCAGCTCCATTTTTTGAGGCACCTTACACAGATCACGGTCTGGGCCCACAGGGCCTGACAGTGAGTATGCCTACAAGGCCCGCCTATAAGACCCACTCATGAGTTCGCTCACAGGGAGTGGAGTGTATGTGTGTAGGGGGTGTGTTATGTGTTATTTTAGAGGATGTAATGTGTGTGTGTTCTTATGGAATGTAGTGTATAGGGATACCAGTTTGTGTAAGGGATGTAGTGTGTGTGTGTGTGTGTATAAGGGATGCAAGGTGTGTTTCTGTGTATGTAATGTAATGCAGTGTATGTGTCTGTAAGGGGTGCATTGAGTGTGTGTAAGAGATGCATTTTGTTTCTGTGTGTGTGTAAAAGAAGCAGTGTGTGTGCACGTAAGAGATGCATTGTGTGTTTTTGTATGTAAGGGATGCATTGTGTGTGTGTGTGTGTGTGTGTGTGTAATGGATGCATTGTGTGTTTCTGTGGGAGTGTAGGATGCATTGTATGTTTCGATGTGTCTGTGTGTGAGTAGGGATGCATTGTATGTTTCTGTGCATGTGTGTGTGTGTGTGTGCAGGGAATGGGATGCATTGTGTGTTTCTGTGTATGTGTAAGGATGCATTGTGTATGTGTGTAGTGTGAAAGAGAGGGTTTGTGGGGTAGGATAGGGGCTGAGAGGATAGCAGTTCTTTATTTTTATTATTATATTTATTTTGTTAAAATACTTTTTGTTGTATATTGTTTTAAGTTTTGTGTCTTTTTTGACATTCTTTATTTGTATGTAGTAAGGTTACAAGACAGGTCAAATCATATCAAAAGACACGGTATAACAGGTTTTGTAAGGCCCCTAAACCTTATGGCCAACAATATTTGTAGGGTTTTATTCCTAGGTTTCCCCCTCTCTCCCTCCCCGCCGTATTAGCTCCCTTCCCCCCACCAACCCCCCCCATCCCCACCAGTCTTGATCCGGCCTCATTTCTCCGTTTCTTAGGCCTAGTGATCTTAGTAGACTTATGTTGGACCTGCCTTTTAGAGGGGAACACCATTCCCCGACCAACCCCGAGCCTATTTGCCTTATAGAGTGGGGTCCGCCGGGACCGCTGTGGTTTGCCTTTCGTCCGGCGTTTAGCAAGTGTTCCACCATGTGCGTGGGCATACATTGTAGTTGGCGAGGTGCAGGACCTTGTTTGGCTTGGTGGGAGTAAAGCTCCTCTGGCTCGCGCAGGGGGTGGTGGTCCCCTTGGGTCCAGATGCGGTCCCCGCGAGCCCCCCCTCGGTGGAATTCTGTGTCGTTCGGGTGTAATGCCCGAGGTCCGGCACCCCCCCCCCTCCGATGAGTTGTTAATTTAACCGTGGCCGGGCTGTCTCCGGCCTGCCTGCTATCTGTGGCTGTCATGTGTTAACTCCAGTCAAGGTCCCCTTTCCTCCCCTGTCGGTCACCTTTGCTTCGTCATTGAGGCATGTGGAGAAAGAGAGAGAAAGAGTTAGAGAGAGTGAGAGAAAAAGAGGAAGAAGAGAGGAGGGAGAAAAAAAAAAAAAGGAAGAAGGAGGGGGGGGAAGGGAGGGGGTCCCGCGCGGCCGCAATCCAGCCTCCTCCCACGCTACTCCGCCTCCTCATCTGGCCTCAGACGGTCCGCCCTCGGCCGCCCCCACCTCCGGTCCGAGCTGTAGGAGATCCACGGTGTCCACAGGCGAGTGCAGCGGTCTTGCGTGCCCCTGAGTTCTGCCGTAAGAATTTCCATGTTATAAAGTTCATCGACTTTTTCTATCCACTGAGTAATGTTTGGGACAACTGGCGATTTCCATCTGGCGGGGATGAGGCTTTTGGCTGCGTTGAGAAAGTGTCTGATAAGGGTTTTCTTGTAACGCCCCAGAGGTATCTGAGTGTGGTTTAAAAGCATAGGGAGGGGCTCCATGGGGATGTCCTCCCCCAGGATGTCCACCACTTTGTCATGGATCTGTTGCCAGAAGGGGGCTATCCGAGGGCAAGACCACCACAGGTGTAATGCCGTCCCTTCGGCGATGTCACATCTCCAACACTTGTTGTCGGGGGTGACCCCCATGGCATGGAGTCGTGCGGGGGTCCGGTACCAGTGCGTCAATAGTTTATAATTAAGTTCCTGCATTTTAGAACTAAGTATCCCCTGGTGGGACAGGACGTGTATTTGCTCCCATTGTGGTTCCGTTAAGGTGACACCTGTGGCTTGTTCCCACTTTGAGTGGAAGTGTGCCGGGGGACCCGCATCGGCACCCAGGAGCATGGCATATAGGGTCGATATCCCGCGTGTCGGGTGCGATCCCCCTTCACATAGCGTTTCAAAGTGTGTGAGGTCTCGGTGGATCAGGTGTTTCCCCTGAAGTGTGGCATAGTACCGGCGTATCTGGTGGTACCTAAATCGTAAGATCCCTGTCTCCCTACTCTGGCCCAGCATGTCTTCCAGCGGCCTTAGGGCTTTATTAGCACACCATGCCCGAAGGTATTGTTTCGTCCCCTCCCCCAGTCCCTCCATATCCCCCTGTGTCAGGCCTCCCGCCAGGTCTGGGTTGTGTATCACAGGTGTCAGGGGGGCCGGGTTCGTGGTGAGCTGCAGCTTGAATCGGATGGTTGTCCATGTTCTCAGTGTCGCGCCTATGAATGGGTGGTTCCGCAGGAAACCATCGCATGTCGGGTTTTGTATCCATACCATCGATGGAATACGCCCCCTGGCCTGAAGCCGCTCCATATGGACCCATTGTTTGTCCGAGTCCAGGACATGCCATTCTATAATTCGTAAGAGGTGTGTCGCCTGGTAGTAACCGAGTAGGGACGGTAGGGCTGTTCCACCCCGATGTCTCGGGAGTATCAGTTGTGTCTTTCTTACCCTCGGCGGTCCCTTCGCCCAGACGAATCGCAGTATAGCCGAGCCCAAGGTGTTGAAGTATGTTCGCGGGATCGTGATCGGAATGGCCTGGAAAAGATACAGCAAGCGTGGCAACAGATTCATCTTTATTGTGTTGATCCTCCCAAACCACGACACGCATAGGCGTCCCCATCTGAGCAAGTCCGCACGGAGCGTTTGGAGAATAGGGAGAAAGTTTTCTTGATAGAGTTTCGTCAGGTCTCTAGTTAACCAGATCCCGAGATATTTTATGCGCTGGTGGCACCATTTAAAGGGGAACTCTCCTGTCAGCCGTTCGACCAACTCGGGGGGTATAGAGATGGGGAGGGCCTCTGACTTGTCCGCGTTCAATTTGAAGTTAGAGATCCGTCCGAACCGCTCAAAGGCCGCCAACAGGTTGGGCAAGGTGATCAAGGGGTTGCTCACGAAGAAAAGGAGGTCGTCCGCGTAGGCCGCCACCTTGTGCGTGCCGTCCCCCAGGGTGACCCCCGCAATGCCCCCGTCCCGTCTGACCGCCCCAAGAAATGGCTCCAGAGAGAGGGCAAACAGGAGGGGGGAAAGCGGACATCCCTGGCGCGTCCCGTTACGTATCCGAATCGGTGTGGACAGGACCCCATTAATGCGTAGTTGAGCAGTCGGTTCCGCATATAGCGCGGAGATCCACTGCAGTATATTCGGTCCGAACCCCATTGCCTTGAGCGTTTAAAGGAGGTATCGCCAGTCCACCCGGTCGAAGGCCTTCTCCGCGTCAGTGGAGAGGAGCAGGCCCCCGACCGGCGAGTTCCGTTGCATGTGCATGATGTTTAGCGCTCTGATTGTATTATCTTTGGCTTCTCGACCGGGTATGAATCCGGTCTGGTCCGGGTGGATCAAGGATGGGACTATGCGGCCCACGCGCGCCGCCAGGACCTTCGTAAACAGCTTGAGGTCTGCGTTTAGTAGAGAAATGGGTCTGTAGCTCGCACAGGCCGCTGGGTCTCTACCCTCTTTCGGGATAACCGCGATCGTTGCCAGTAGGGTGTCCCCCGGTAGGCGTGCCCCCTCAAGGAGAGAGTTCATGCCCGCCAGCAATTCTGGTAGGAGGACATCCCCAAAGGCCTTGAGGTATCTGGCGGGGAGGCCGTCCGGTCCCGGGGCTTTAAGTTGTGTGTTCTTCAGGGCTGCCGTCAGTTCCTCGATCGTAATGGGGGCATCAAGGTCTTCCCTTTGTTCTTGCGTGAGAGTCCGGTGTACGTGGTTTTCCAGGTACTCCCTCGTCAGTCTCGCCGTCCTTTCCCGGCCCGCGCTTGTCTCATCTTTCTGGATATCGTATAGGCCAGTGTAGAAGTTCCGGAATTCCTCGACTATTTTGTCCGGTACCTGCGTGAGGGCGCCGCTCTTTGTCCGCAGCTTAGTGATCTGGTTCACGCGGCGTTGTTGTCTCAGCATTCTGGCTAGCATACGACCGCATTTGTTGGAGTGTTCATAGTAATAGCGATGGGCTTTTTTCATCGTAGAGGCGAGGTTTTTCGTGAGCAGATGTTGTAGGTCTCGGCGGGCCTCTCGGAGCGCATGGTACGCCTCTTCTGTCGGTGCGGCTTTGTGGTCTTGTTCTAAGCTGGCGACTTTCGTATATAGCTCTTGTAGCTGCCTACTGTGTTCTTTCTTCCGCGTTGTACATACCTTGATGAAATGTCCCTGAATGACGCACTTATGGGCCTCCCACCGAATCATTGGGGAGGTGTCAGACGGATCATTCTCATTGAAGTAATGACGGAGCGCTGTCGTAGCGTCCGCTATGGTGACCGGGTCGCTAAGTAGTTGTTCATTCAGTTTCCATTGGCGTCTTGTGGGTTTATGCAGAGGCGAGGTCAGCTGGGCCAGTACCGGTGAGTGGTCCGACCAAGCGTCCAGTAGGATTTCACATTTTTGTAATAGATTCAGGTATTCTTGTGCAATAAAGACATAGTCTAAGCGGCTGTAGCCGCGGTGCACCGGTGAGAAGTATGTGAAATCCTTGGCCTCTGGATGCAGGACTCTCCAGCAATCCGCAAGGCCCGCCGTTCTGAGTGCCAATTGTGCCGCTTTGATGCTTGCGTCCGGCAGCGAGCAGCGTCCCCGGGAGGTGTCCGTCCGCGGATCCAATGGTATGTTGAGGTCCCCGGTTAGAATTAGGAGACCCTCCCTGAAGTGTTCCAGCGATTTTAGGGTTCTGGTGAGAAAACTGTGTTGTCGGGTGTTGGGCGCATATATGGAGGCAAAGGTGTAGCGCCTGTCTGCAATGGAGCCCTTGAGGAAGATGTAGCGTCCCAGTGGGTCGGCCTTGATCTCCGCACACACGAAGGGGACATGCGCGGCGAAGAGAATGGCCACTCCTGCCTTCTTGGCTTCCCTATGGTTAGCAAAATATCCAGTGGGGAACCGTCGGTGTCGGAGGGCCGGTCCCGTCTGTCCGCGGAAGTGTGTCTCCTGGATGAAGGCCACAGAGATTCTATTGGACCAAAGTGCCCGTAGTAAATGTGATCTCCGTTCCGGCAGGTTCAGGCCCCGGACGTTGTTGGACCAGATGCGCAGAGGAGCCGGGGCGAACCCCTCTCGGCCCCGGGAGGTCATGAGAGCTGGTGCCGCCGCGCAGGGGCGGGGGGCGAGGTGTCAGGGGCGGGAAAAAAGAAGGGAAAAAAAAAAGGGGGGGGAGGTGGTCGTAGGTAGAGGGTCGTCAGTAGACCTGTTATAGAATAACAGAAAGAGTTAAACAAGGTGAGAACTATGTACAGTGTCAGACTCAGCTGTCTAGGTCGGTGAGTCAGTAAGGGGTGGACTGTCCCACGTAAATATGTCCCCCCTTGTCGCTCCCCCCTAGTGTGTTATACAGTGTGTCTGTGGGTACGTGAGCGTCCGCAGGCGCAGGACTGTGAAGGTGGGTCTAAGAGTCGTCACTGTCAGCTCCCCCTTAGCCCGTGCTGTCCCGCAGTAGTCCTCCTCTTTCCGGAGGCTATACCTCGGTGCCTGGTCATGCCCCTGTCCCATCCCGCAGGTGGACCCCCCCCCCAGGGTGGCAGTGCAAGTGATCTCCGCGTATCGCGGCTGCCGTTTCCAGCGTACCCTGGCCGCCCAGCTACTCAAGCAGACCCTATGCCCCTCTCGCCTCTGGCAGGTTTTACTCGTTGGGCATCCCGCCCACCCCCCCCCCATCCCTGTGACCCCAGGCCCTTCTCCCCCTGTCTCTTTGCTTTCCTTCCCCGTCTCGCCCCTGGCTCGGGGTGTGTGCTCTATGGGCCGGTGTTGAGTGGGCTCGGTAGTGCAGGGGCCATTCCTCCTCACCTCCCCGTGGAGGACATTTACTCGTCTCCCTCACGTCTCGCATGGGTGCAGTGGGGAGCTGCGGGGCTTCCCGCCTCCCCTCCAACCCAGCATGGGGGGGCAGGTTGCTAAGTGTCCCGAGAGAAATGCAGGTCCGCTCCGTGCTCTCCCCTCCCCCCACCTCGTAGCCATCAGTCCCCCAGGACCTTGCCCATGTCCTCCCCCACTTCCAGGGTGCAGTCCCCGATTCCCTCCCCCAATGCCCTCCCAAAGCCCAGTGAGCCCCCTACGACTCCTTGAGCCTAAACTTTACCAGTGTAGCAAGTCCAGGGGCAATATGGCGGGCCAGTCCCAACTCCAGAAGCGGCATTCCGGGCCCCGGCAGGGGAAGAAGCGACATCCCATGTCCATGAACTCCCTTTCAGGTCGGGGTGAGCCGCGACTTGTGAGGTGCCTACGCCTCCCACCCCACCTGGCTAACCTACTCCCTCTATGGGCAGGCGCAGACCCGTATCCCGGCTCCCCCCCAGTACCTTGCGGCCCGGCTGAAGCCAGGCCGCGAGTGCTCCTCTCCTCACTCCTCCACGCCTCTCGGGCCTCCCAGCATCCTCTGGGCCCGCTCCCTTCTCCTCGGGGGCGACGGTGGGCGCCCGTCCTCCGCCACTTCGTGCAGCTGTGCGAGCGGGGTCTCCAGAAGCCGATTCCAAGGCTCTTAAGCCGGGGCACATCTTCTGGCCAGCGCACTTGGATCCAGGCATTCCCCTGCCTAATCTGGAGGCTGAAGGGGAATCCCCACCGGTAGGCTATTCCCTTCTCCCGCAGGGTCGTCGTTAAGGGCCTGAGAGCCCGTCTGGCGTCCAGGGTGAGGCCGGACAGGTCTTGGTATAGGGCCACGCTTGCTCCCCGGAAGGGTATATCCGCCATTCCTCGGGCAGCCGTCATGAGGCGTTCCTTAAGGCTGTAGTCATGGAGGCAGCACAGGACGTCTCGTGGCCTGCCATCAGGCCTCTGCGGCCCCAGGGACCTATGTGCCCGGTCCAGCTTGATCACCGCCGGGCATTCCTCTCCAAGAATCTGCCGGAAAAGGGCCTGCAGCGTGTCTTGTAGTGGCGCTGTGTCCGGTTCGGGTAGCCCCCGAATCCGGATATTTTGGCGTCTGCTGCGGTTCTCTAAATCTTCAACTTGGCGCCGAAGGGAGAGGAGCATGTTCCCCTGGCGCGTGGTAGCGAGTTCAGCCGCTTGGTGCTGCGCGCGGCTCGCTTGGGCCTCCGTTTCCAGTGCCTCCACTCTTACTTCCACTGATGAAAGATCCTTCCTCAGGGCTGCAACTTCCTCTTTGACGGCTGCCCGAAGTTCTCTCAGTAGCCCCCCTGTATCTGCCTTGGTGAGCATCTGTGCGGAGATCATTGCCAGCTCCTGTTTAATCAGAGCGAGTGTGTCATCCTGCGTGCCGTCCAGGGTGGGCTCTCCCGCGCTTTCACTGCCTGGGGAGCCGGGCGCCATGTTGTCAGGCGGTCGGCTGCAGCTTAGTGTGCTCGGAGTGCACACGAACTCATCAAGCGTCCCGGTCGGGCGGTGCGGGGTACCCCCCAGGGTGTGGGGCTTCTTGTTCCGGACCATGTTTGTCGGGGTAAGTGCCGGTTTTCGCGTGTTTTAGGGGCCAGGGGGAGCGGAGCTCAGGAATTAGGCGTCCTGTCGCATGCTCGGCTCGGCCACGCCCCCTCCTAAGTTTTGTGTCTTACACCCCCTTTAGTTTATCTCTTACAAGCCCCTTTGTGTGTCCCTTACCCCTTCTCTTTGTATGTCTTACTCCCCAAGCCCCTTTGTGTCTTACTCTTCCCAGCTCCATTGTGTGTCTCTTTTTCCCCCTGGCTCCTCTGTGTGTCTCCCTCACAAGTGACTCTGTGCTTCTCTCTCCTGAGCCCCTCTGCGTGTCTGTCTCCCCTACCATCCCCTCTGTGCTTCACTTTCTCCCCTTCCTCAGCCTCTCTGTTTGTCTTACACTCTCCCTCCCCCGTCCCTTAATGATCTCTTTCACTTGCCCTGTCCCTTAGTGGTCTACTCTCCTCCCCCTGTCCCTTAGTGCTCTCCCCTCCTGTCCATTAGGAATCTTCCCTGTCCCCTTAGTGCTCTCTCCTCCCCTCCCTTAGTGTTCCTCTCCCCTCCCTATACTTTAGTGGTCTCCCCCTCCCCTTAGTGGTCCTCTCTCTCGCCCTCCCCCTTAGTGGTCCTCCCTCTCCCCCCCTCCCCTTTAGTGGCATTGTTCTCTCACCCCCCTCCCCTTTAGTGGTCCTGTTTCTCTCACCCCCACTCCCCTTTAAAGGTCCTGTTCAGGGCTGCCACCAGATATTTTGGGGCCCCTGACAAAGCACAAAGTCTGGGCCACCCCCCAGGCCCGCCCACGAGTCTTCCCACAGGACTCCTACCTAGTCTGCTGTCAGTGATGCACGACTGAATGTGGTGTGTATGTTGGAAGTGAATTAGAATGTGTGTAATGGATGTAATGTTTGTGTGTATTAGATACTGTTTGTGCAGTGAATGCAGAGTGTGTGTTTGTGTAGCGGATGCAGTGTGTATAGTGAACGCAGAGTGTGTTTGAGTAGTGGATGTAGTGTGTGTACAGTGATACTCACACTCTGCATAATGCACTTCCCTCTCTCTAACTCCCGCAAGCGTGCTGTGCGTGCCGCGCGGAGCGTTGCCATGGTAACCCGTGGCATCGCTCTGACGGCCGCGTGTCTCGCGGGAGTTAGAGAGAGGGAAGAGCTTTATCATACAGATGCAGACTGCTGGGCCCCCTCTGCAAATTCAGGGAGCCGGAGGGGGGGGGGGGCCTGCGGCTGCACATATATATATATATAGCGATCATCTCTATATGTATGTGCAGAGTGGGAATGTTGGGCTGATGACGGCCCTGGTCCTGTCTCTCTCATCCCTTCTCCCCTTTAGTGGTCCTGTCTCTCTCACCCCCCTCCCCTTTAGTGGTCCTGTCTCTCTTATCCCTCCCCTCCCTTTAGTGGTCTGTCTCTCACCCCCTCCTTTAGGTGGTCCTGTCTCTCCTCCCCCCTCCCCTTTGGTGATCTGTCTCTCTCACCCCTCCCCTTTGGTGGTCCTGTCTCTCTCACCCCCCTCCCTTTGAGTAGTTCATGCCTCTTTGGTGATCCTGTCTCTCTCATCCCTCCTCCTCTTTAGTGGTCCTGTCTCTCTCCACCCCCTCCTTTAGTGATCCTCTCCCCCTCCCCTTTGGTGGTCCTGTCTCTCTCACCCCCTCCCTTTGGGGTCTGTCTCTCTCACCCCTCCCCCTTTAGTGGTCTGTCTCTCTCACCCCCCTCCTTTGGTGGTCCTGTCTCTCTCACCCCCCCTCCTTTGGTGGTCCTGTCTCTCACCCCCTCCTTTGGTGGTCTGTCTCTCTCACCTCCTTTAGTGGTCCTGTCTCTCTCACCCTCCTCCCCTATAGTGATCCTGTCTCTCCCCCCTCCCTTTAGTGGTCCTGTCTCTCTCACCCCCCTCCCCTTTAGTGGTCCTGTCTCTCTCATCCCTCCTCTCCTTTTGTTTCCTGTATCTGGCTGTACTGACAGGAAGTGCACTCACTTCCTGTCAGTCCGGCCGGGTATAGGAAACAGATGCTCCTGTACCGCGGTCCACTCCCGGC